TGGTCTACCAACAAGCTTTCCTCGTTTAAAATTAAGGGAAATAGGAGAAAAAAAATTAATTTAGCTGATTTACAGTGGTAACTTTTTGTATATAATGTAAACAATAATTGGTCATTTATTTCGTTAATAAAGAAAGGTATGCGTTATCTGTGATGGAGCAGAGATAAAATGTTGTTGTTGCATCTATCAAATACATAAAATAACACTGTTACAGCTGCCGTACTGGGTATTTTTATATTACCTTGTTTGGTGCGTAGTATTCCTATATGTGTGGTTTCTACCAGCAGAGATTTTTTATTTGTCTGTTTTTTACATTGTGCGATTTTTTAATAAGCAATTTAATAAAAATAACGCTTTAATTCTTGTTTAGCGTGGTAAGTTGTATCAGTGCATTATCAGCGTTGTCAGTCCAGTCGTTACCATTTTAAAACAAATATTGTAGAGCGATTGCTTTTGTAAAACTAAGTGAAGTGTCATTTTAAAGACAGCTTATCCTTTTTATATTACTGTGGACGAAACGCCGAACATTAAAAAAAATATTTTATTTATTTTTTTACATAATTTATAAAATAGTAACTAATATTGATATGTGGATACGTTATATAATTATCTTGTCCTTTTAAAAAACGTACAAAATAAAAAAAATATTAATCTGATAAATATTAAACATTCTTTTTTAAATCGGATCAAGTTTTTACAAACTATGTATATGTGTGTACTACATTTTAAGCACTGTCTCTATTTAATTTGCGTTGTCCACAAATGACCTAGCAGTGCATTGCAGCAATGCGGAATTTGGTGTGATTCAGGTAATTTTAATTAATTATAGGCACCTTCTATTAATCATTCATATTACAATTGCGAAAATGAGAAATAAAAGGAATATTTTGTTTACTAATATTACTGCAACATGGCGTTTTGGAGAACTTTTGAAACGGAACAAACCGAAATTGACCATCAATATAATAAAATTGTTTAAGCACATAATTAATTAAATTTTATTGCTAGGCGTTTTTATACATGTTCAACTGACTTCGGAAAGACTATAAAAGAGGTAATATTGAAAAGTTATACATTTATAAACAAGATGCAGTACGTTTCCATTTTTTCAATTTTTTTTCTAACCACTTCTGCAGACAATCGGTGTTAAACATATTAAATTAATCCAAAATAAACAAATCACCATCAAAATTAAATTGTGAACAGTATAAATGCAAAGGAGGCTCCGCTGTCTTTTAAAATATTGCCACCTCTGAAAAGTCACTACTGCCAATTGACTTTACATCTGTTATGATACGACGAGATAGCAAACGGGTGAAAAACAAACTGGTATGGTCGAATACGTCGTCACAGCTTCATTCTGTTACATTTTTATTTTAGTTTGTGAAGTGGCTTTGTGTATTTTAAACCTTACGAAGTAAATTATTTCAGTGTTTGGTGACGGTACAGTGTATCTTTGTGCTTTCAAGTTTTTGTTTGATATGAAAAAGTAAGTATACGAATCAAGAATGTGTTGATATAGTAAGAGTCTACTATTTGTCAGTAGCAAACGATGTTGTTGCAAGAAAACGATATCAGATTGGCTATCCCGACTTATAAGTACCGAATGAGAAAATGTTTGTAAGATTGGTTCAACATTTAAGAAAATACGGGAACTTTGGACGCCAATATGCTAATGTTGGACAGGGACAAATTCAGAGAGTGAAAAATCTAGAACCAGAGATTTTAAACGCTGTGAAAGAGAATCCTGGTACCAGTACGCGAAGATTAGCCACAAGATTTCAAGTATGTCATATGCTGTAAAAGTCAGAAGAGTAAACGGATTATCTACTTATTTTTGTTTATTTCATTAATCATTATTTATTAATTACGGATTGAGTTCTATATTAGATTACCTGTTAGGTACGATTTTATGGTTTACCTTATTTAAAAGAATAAAATTTTTGTTTATGTGAGATAATAGAGCTCGTGGCGAACAGTCATCCAATAAAAGCAATACGCCAAAGAGCTTCCTTCACAGTAGTAGGTGTGGAAATTTTCTTTTTAATAAAATTTGCTTTTTATTTACCTCGCCTTAAGGTTATGAGATTTGATAACAATTTGAGAAAATACATTTACGATGCGCGTTTCTAAAGGTCAAAGGTAGCCTTTTTGTCAAGAACTCACCTTTACCTCCAAATAAAATAACTAAATTTCTTGGTAACGCTACTGACTTCACACGTAAATGTCAAGCTCCATCCAACGAACGTTACCCGCCCCCCTCCCCCCGTACCACTCTAGTTAGGGGATTGTTCAGATCTTAATTTAACCGTTAATAATTTATCGGCCCATTTCTACGGTGTACGGCAATGAACTTACGTGTTGCGGTGGGAAACCTCGATCTCGTGCCATGTAAGCGTCTGCTAGGGGTCCGCCGGCATTCTGCTGCTGCTGCTGCGGGGACGGCGTGTCGTATTCGGCGGCAACGGCTACGGAATTATTCAGGCCCGGAGTTTGCACAGCTGAACCCAACTGGTAATCGGAATCTGGAAAAAATTCATTAAATTAATAATTAGGGTAACGCATTATAAATTCATGCCCGTGCGGCCGTGCTCAGGACGAAAGTTACCTTGCAGGAGGATTTTAATGAACGAATTAGTATTCAGTCTAATTATGGTGCGCGTGGACGTTCGCTATATTTAATTACACTTTTATTAATGGACGCGTAAATCGCGGAATTGTACGGAATTATCTTCCGCCTTGTTTTATTAGGCGGCATGTGGGGGTTATCGAATTAGCATATGAATTTAGTCCAGGCTGTATCGTCGCTCCCGCTAGAAATATGATTCTCATTCAATTTTTTTTATAATCTTACTAAAAGAATGACCCTTGAAACATATCCGCATGTTGCCAGACGTTACTAATGGTCAAAAATTGTTTAAACTATTTTTTTAAACGGATTCGTAATTTGCGACTTTTTAAGGCTTTTTGGGGTTCCTGAACAAAAAGTTCCTATGCAACTTTTCTCTAAAATCTACCGTTTTCGAGATATTAACGATTTTTTGTTCGAAAAAACGCGATTTTAACCATTTTCAGCGTCAATAAACTATATTAACTTAACAAAAATCCGAAGAGTTACGCCGGCATATTTTATTCTGAAGATTTGTTTTTTTTATTGAAAATAAGGCGCGCGCACCGCGTTTCCCGGCCGCTGTTGGCCACCTCCGTATACTGCGTCTCTCTCGCACTCACTCGAAGTATACAGCGTGGTAGAAAAGTTCTGCATAAAATTCATATTTTCGTTAAACAATTTTTTTTCGAAAAACGGTGAGACCCGTCGATTTTTATTTGATCTAGGGCACCTTGTTATGTGTAAAAATTTTTTTTTNGCTTCCTTCACAGCAGTAGGTGTGGAAATTTTCTTTTTAATAAAATTTGCTTTTTATTTACCTCGCCTTAAGGTTATGAGATTTGATAACAATTTGAGAAAATACATTTACGATGCGCGTTTCTAAAGGTCAAAGGTAGCCTTTTTGTCAAGAACTCACCACGGTGATCAGGAAGGGAGAAAAAGTTCGATGAAAATGTCCGCCAAAACGGCTAACGCAGAGAGTTTCTGTATCATCTGGACATTCAAAATTCGCAAAGCTCAAAATTTGTATACAACAAGTTGTATACAACGTGTCCCAAAAGTATGGAAACAGCACAATAACTTTCAAAAAATGCATTTTGAGGAATAATGATTCAGACAAAAGATTTAGGATTTTTCCCTGGCTATTCAATGGTGACCCTAGATTTGACCTTGACCTTGACTTTCAAGGTTATTTCAAGGTCAAGTTAATTTTTTGAAATGGGATGCCCTACTTTGACCTCAGAAATGAAAAGAGTGGAAAATTTTACGTTCAGATATGTCCTTGACCATTTTCCAATATGGCGGATCCAAGATGGCGGACGCGATTCCAGAAAATTAACCGATCTACGCCAAATTTGGTATAGGGGGGTTTTTGGGGTCGCTGACTACGAATCTGAAATCTATTTTTGACAAATTTTAGTCCAAGATGGCGGATCCAAGATGGCGGACGCGATTTCAAAAATCAATCGATTTTTGCCAAAATTGATATAGTGCGGTTTTTCAAGGTGAAGGTCACGGTCAAATCAAGGGTCACCATCAGATAGCAGGGGAAAAATACTACAACGTTAGTTATGGTCATTTTTTTTGCAACCCGTTGTTTTCAAGACAGCGCGCCAAACCATGCGTGACCTTGATTTGGCCTTTAATGACCATCAGAGGTTAAATTCGGAAAATGGTCAAGAACATATCGGAACGTAAAATTTTTCGCTCTTTTCATTTCCGGAGTCAAAAGTAGGGCATCCCATTTGAAAAAATTAACTTGACCTTGAAATAACCTTGAAGGTCAAGGTCAAGGACAAACCTAGGGTCGCCATTGAATAGCCAGGGAAAAATCCTAAATCTTTTGTCAGAATCATTTTCCCTCAAAATGCATTTTTCGAAAGTTATTGTGCTGTTTCCATAATTTTGGGACACGTTGTCACAAATGCCCATAATTCGCAAGAAGGATCTGATAGGAATTTAAGCTTTGCGAATTTTGAATGTCCAGATGATACAGAAACTTTCTGCGATAGCCGTTTTGGCGGACATTTTCATCGAACTTTTTCTCCCTTCCTGATCATCGTGTCACCTTTACCTCCAAATATAGTGACTAAATTTCTTAGTGACGCTACGGACTTCACACGTAAATGTCAAGCTCCATCCAACGAACGTTACCCGCCCCCCTCCCCCCGTACCNCCTTCCTGATCATCGTGTCACCTTTACCTCCAAATATAGTGACTAAATTTCTTAGTGACGCTACGGACTTCACACGTAAATGTCAAGCTCCATCCAACGAACGTTACCCGCCCCCCTCCCCCCGTACCACTCTAGTTAGGGGATTGTTCAGATCTTAATTTAACCGTTAATAATTTATCGGCCCATTCCTACGGTGTACGGCAATGAACTTACGTGTTGCGGTGGGAAACCTCGATCTCGTGCCATGTAAGCGTCTGCTAGGGGTCCGCCGGCATTCTGCTGCTGCTGCTGCGGGGACGGCGTGTCGTATTCGGCGGCAACGGCTACGGAATTATTCAGGCCCGGAGTTTGCACAGCTGAACCCAACTGGTAATCGGAATCTGGAAAAAATTCATTAAATTAATAATTAGGGTAACGCATTATAAATTCATGCCCGTGCGGCCGTGCTCAGGACGAAAGTTACCTTGCAGGAGGATTTTAATGAACGAATTAGTATTCAGTCTAATTAGGGTGCGCGTGGACGTTCGCTATATTTAATTACACTTTTATTAATGGACGCGTAAATCGCGGAATTGTACGGAATTATCTTCCGCCTTGTTTTATTAGGCGGCATGTGGGGGTTATCGAATTAGCATATGAATTTAGTCCAGGCTGTATCGTCGCTCCCGCTCCCAGTGCGGGTTTTCCTGAGACCAATACCGGCAGTTATATCGATGCACCGATCCATTAAGATAAAAAGTAGCCTCGTCAGAAAAAATGTTCTTGAGGAAGTCGGGGTCTCCGTTACATCGATGCGTCAAATCTTCACAAAAGTGGAGACGGCGGTCTGGGTCGTCCTCAGTCAATGCATGTCTCAAGTGACCCTTATAGGGGTGAAATTTCTCTTTTTTGAGAAAGTTCACCACAGTTACATGTGAAATATCATTGTTCAATGCAATCGACCTTGTACTAACTAGAATGAGGGTTGTCCTGGAGCTCCACCAGGATATTCAATCTAGTTTCATCATCTACTCTAGGACGACCCGCACGAGGAGCATCTTTCACACTACCAGTTTCCTCAAACCTTGCCAGTACCCTACTAACCGTAGATTGCGTAATTGGTGGTCTGTCAGGGTACGTTGCATTAAATAATTGGCAAGCTTCTTGATGGGTTCGTAACTTATCGCCGAAACCAATCATCCTCAAAATATCAATTCTTTCGCGTTCACTAAGTTTTGCCATTTCGAATTAAACGATTTCACCAAAGAATGTTAAATCGGTACTGATTTTTAGTCTTCAATATTTCAGGTAATCTACTCCTTTCAAGTAAACATTTCTTTGG